AAAAAAAAAAAAAATATATATATATATATATATATTATATTTATATTTTCTTTACTCAATATTTCAGTGCAAAACGCAGAGTTTATTCTGAGCAAAATAAAATCCAATAGACATAAAAGGTGTTTCTCAATCCAAGTGTATTTTAATTTTATGACAATGTCAGTATAAGACAGGAAGGAGAAATTCACATAATAAAAATCTACTGAAACAACATATACTACCAACTATTAACAATCATGGGAAAATATAGCAAACAGCAATTAACTTAAAGGCTCTTCTTGGATAGGTGGGGGAAATGGAAAGAATGTGTGTGTGCACGCTTCTGTGTGTTATTTTAAAGCTTCATTTTTCTCTAACACCAGTGATTCTTCAGGCTGTTTCACATATGTCCAGAGGGAATTACATATGCTTTTTCCCTACAGCTAATGTCTAATGTACATTAAAGACCATGCAAAGAAAATTGTTTTACTAACGATTGCTACCAATGCTGTGTTTTAAATTCTTTCCTCATCTTATTTCTGCTCTGTTTTAGCATTATGATGAGCGATGATATATACATGTGCTGAAAACAACAGTTCAGGGTGTAGCTTGGGGCTGAATTCTGTATCTCAGCATTTTGTCAAGTTCATTATGATCTCACATTATTTAAAAAGTGTGTGTGCACATAGCAGATTTATTTTAGAAACCTCTCTCTGTGTCCACCACATGTTAGTGCTACCTTCCCCTGTCCTGTCATGTCTCAATTTAGGACTCAGTCGTGGTAATTAACCACAGCCTTATCGTGGAGGCAGTGCAGAGGAGTACCACCACACTGGGAACTCTGGGAGGCACTGAGCCTAGAAATCTGAGGAACGCAGGTGCAACACCACCCTTTTAAAGAGTGCAGCTTCCGTTTGCAGTCACCAAGCTCAGCTGGCCAGGGCAGAGACAGGGTTGGGAGAGAGACTCAATTTGGAAGAACCTAGAATCAACAATCTTTAGTCTTTGTACTCAAAGGAGAACAAGGACTAAAATATATATGACCCTGCTCCTGGCACCATCTCCCATCCTTATGCATCCACACAGGAGGCACTACTTTGTCCTCAGAAAGATCTTCTTTTACTTGCTTGTAAAGCAGCACACACATTTATGCTTAAAATAATAAAGCATCACTGAGGCACCTAGGCCCCAAAGTTTTAGAACCATATATTGAGATGGTGCTGAAACCATGGTTAAAGCCAACTTCTGAAGTGAAATGTCTTACTACTAGTTCACCCACACCCAAAAAGGAGCTTCAGGAAGAGGCACTGGTGATTCAGCAAGTGGCACTCTTAGCACCAAGTCAGTTCTAACACAGTCCCCCAGCACGTTATGGGGCGCTTTGCTACTGGAGGTTCCATCTTTTGAATAAGACCTAAACAAATCTAACAACATGTAGTAAAAGATGCAATTGCACTTTTTGTAAGGGTAGAGGCATTCATTGTTATTTCCCAGTCAAACGCCATCTAGCATAATTACGTCCTCCCCACATCACTTCCATTGATGTTTCAGATGGAAAAAGGTGCTCTTTCATTCCAGTCCTAAACTGAAATACAACGGTGGTGTGCACTATAGAATGTTTCCTGAGTTTCACCACAGAGAAAAAGCCACATTTCAGTGGTAGGTTAAGTAAGCCCATTGGATGGTTTGTATATCATTACATTTGTAGAAGCATTTGTGGTATATACCGAATAAGAAATGCTATATAAACATAAGATTATCATAGAATCATCTAGTCCAGTCCCCTGAGCTGAAACAGGACCAAGTAAGCCTAGACCACTTCTGACAGGGATTCGTCCAACCTGTTCTTAAAAATCTCCTATGATAGGGACTCCACAACCTCCACTGAAAGCCTATTCCAGACCTTAACTACCCTTAGCCCCGGTCTACACTATGAGGTTAGGTCAAATTTAGCTGCGTTAGGTCGATTTTATAAGCAATGAGTCTACACAACCAACACTGTTCCGTCGACCTAAAGGGCTCTTAAAACTGACTGTTGTACTCCTCCCCGGCGAAGGGAGTAGCGCTAAAATTGACCTTGCTGGGTTGAATTTGGAGTAGTGCAGATGCAATTAGACAGATTTGGCCCCCGGGAGGTAGCCCAGAGTGCTCCAACGTGACTGCTCTGGACAGCACTTTCAACTCCGATGCACTAGCCAGGTACACAGGAAATGCCCTGGGAAATTTTGAATTTCATTTCCTGTTTGGTCAGCGTGGCGAGCGCAGCAGCACAGGTGACCATGCAGTCCTAGAATCGCAAACAAACTCCAGCATAGACCGAATGGGAGACACTGAATCTGATTGCTGTATGGGGAGAAGAATCTGTGCAGGTAGAACTCCGATCAAAAAGAAGAAACGCTATATATGCCAAAATCGCACAGGGCATGGTGGAGAGAGGCTACAACAGGGACACACAGCAGTGCCACGTGAAAGTTAAGGAGCTCAGTCAAGCCTACCAAAAGACAAAGGAGGCAAACGGTCGCTCCAGGTCAGAGCCCCATACAACCCGCTTCTATGATCAGCTGCATGGCATTCTAGGGGGGGACCCTACCACTACCCACCACTGTCCTTGGACACCTGCAAGGGGGAAGTCTCACGCAAGAGGGAGGAAGATTTTGTGGATGATGATGATGAGGAGGAAAATGCACAGCAGGCAAGGGGAGAATCTGTTCTCCCTGGCAGCCAGGACCTTTTCATCACCCTGGAGCTAATACCCTCCCAAGGCAGGATCCCAGACCCTGAAGCCAGAGAAGGCACCTCTGGTGAGTGCACATTTGTAACTACAATACAGGGTTTAAAAGCAATTGTGTTTAATGTTTGATTTGCCCTGAAGAATTGGGACGCATTTGCGGCCAGTACAGCTACTGGAAAAGTCTGTTAATGTGTCTGGGGGTGGGGCGGGGATCCTCCAGGGGTTTCTCCA